GATGACGACAATGACGTGTGGATTCATGTGAGAAAGTGGGTTTTACTAATGGCCAACCCGTTCCCAGAGACATGACAATGTCTCTCTAATTAGCCAGGCACACGGTAAGGCTGATGGTATCAAGGACTAAAGTTCCTTGACTCTAGCACCTTTTCCTTGTTGTTCTTGCGCTGTAACAAAAGCCAAAAAAACTCCACGGAGCTTTGATCAACAACTCAGAGCTGTTCACAGGCTCATGGGATCGCAGAAGGGCAGGGCTGGACGGGGACCTCAATAGATCATCTAGTCCAGCCCCCAGGACTATCTGACGCACAGACTCTAACGCCCCACCCCGGCTAGTTTAACTTGCTTCTCATTGTCCCTCTCGGTGAAGCAGCACGTGAATTCCACCTTAGGTCCACCGATTCCTAAAACGTTTTCTTCTCCTGCAGCCTTCACCCTCGAGTTTCACCTGACATTCTTCCACTTTGGAGGATGAAGTTCAAATTCATCCTCATCCCCACCCCTCCCTCTCGGCCTGATGCCAAAGAACCAGCCCACACCAGGAAGCTCGGGGTCACCCAGCAGAAGGGTCCTACCTTCGTAGTGAGGGCGTAAGTGACTTTGGATGGACTGCACCAGGGAGGAGTAGATATCTATCTTCCTCTGAAGGATCTTCCTTTCCAGCAGGCTCAAGATGATGTTAGTCTGTGGGAATCAATTTAAAGCATTTGCCATTATCTCTGCTATCCCTGTTTGTGAAAATGAGCTAAAGAAATGGTTTGGGACACTGGTCAGGTGTTGGGACATTGCAGCTGATCACAGGGTGTGTCTGTGTGGGTGTGTGTGGTTCAACCCACAATTAAGGTGGACTACGCAGGTGTGAATTTTTAAGGCCAGAGTTTAGACACAAATGGTGAATTCAAACTGCCTCTGTGATCTCCACAATTAATTTTCCACCTTAAAGGCTGCCTGGTAGCTTCTAACTAACTTGGATTTCATATTCCTGGGCCTCATGCACTGAGCCCCAGAGTTCTAGCTGGAATCTGAAGATTGCCGACTTGTGGGTAGAAACTTGGAGTCTCTGCTGAGTTTTCTGCTTCTAGGACAGGAACCAGAGCCTAGAAACCTAATTTTAATGTTGAGAAATGTAAAGGCGTGCACACTGGAAAGAATAGTCCCCACTCTACATACAAAATGATGGGAACTAATTTGGCTAGAACCACTCAAGAGAGAGCTTGGAGTCACTGTGGATGGTTCACAGAAAATAGTCACTCCATGTGCAGCGTCCATCAAAAAAGCAAACTGAATGTTAAGAATCATTAAAAAAGGAACAGAGGATAAGACAGAGAACATCTTACGGCCTCTGAATAAATCCATGGGATGCCTAAATCTTGAACACTGCGTACAAATGTGGTTGCCTCATCTCCAAAAAGATATCTTGGAATTGAAGAAGGTTCAGAAAAGGGCAACAAAAATGATGAGGGGTTTGGAATGGGTCCCATATGAAGAGAGATGTGATCGAGGTCTATGAAATCATGAGTGGTGTGGAGAAAGTGAATAAGGAAAAGTTATTTACTTGCTCCCATGACATAAGAACTAAGGGTCACCAAAGGAAATGAATAGGTAGTAGGTTTAAAACAAACCAAAGGAAGTTTTTCTTCACTCAGCGCACAGTCAACCTGTGGAATTCCTTGCCAGAGGATGTGGTGAAGGTCAGGACTTGAACAGGGTTCAAAAAAGAACTAGATAACTTCAGAGGTTAGGTCCATCAATGGCTATTAACCAGGATGGGCAGGGATGATGTCCCTGGCCTCTGTTTGGCAGAGGCTGGGAATGGGCAACAGGGGAGGGATCACGTGATGATTCCCTGTTCTGTTCGCTCCCACTGGGGTCCCTGGCATTGGCCACTGTGGGCAGACAGGACCCTGGGCCGGAAGGACCTTTGGTCTGACCCGTCTGGCTGTTCTGATGTTCTGATCTGCTCTGGTGCTTTCAAATAACTACACTCAGCAGCAACCTAAGGGAGCAGGTTCTCTGTCCAGCCACGGGGATGAGCACCCACGCTGGGGTGTCCTTTGGCATGCCTGGCTGCTTTCCAACGATACGATGCATTCAAGCTCTGCCCGTTGATGCTGACATGACACGTACCTGGCAGGGCTCTGGTGGAGAAGGGGCTGAGCAGCGTATCCGCCCCACACTGTGGGCCGGGATGATTTTCAGCTCTTGCTATTTATTTCATTGGTGGGCAGAGAAAGTCAAATTCTGCTTGGCTCACAGACTGGTCCAAGGCCTTCCCCTTGGGTGTGTCAAGGACACTGGGCTGGGGGGGTTGGCTGACATCCTTCCCTATAGGGCCCAGCCAACCCAGTCCGGGGGTCACTTTACAGCAGGAAGGGTGGGGTTTCTGGGGTCACCTTGCCTTGTGCTTTGGCTGTTCTTGGTCGCATAGGTGTGCGCATGGTGTGTGCCCAGGCACACCCTAATGTCTCAAAAAAAAGTGGCTTTGCGTTTTAATTGAATCGCATGATACCCTCTTTTAGTTTTCAAGTATGGATTGTTGTCTTATGCAATAAGCGCCGAATTGCGTAATATAGATGCTGTAGAAATGTATAGAAAGCCAGTGCTCACTCACAGCATGTCCTTTATGATTGAGTATTCAATAAATGTTTGCCTTTAAAAAAAAAAAATTCCCTGGGTGCACACCCTAATGAGATGTGCTGCGCTCACCTATGCTTGGTCGCTGGGGGGTCCCTAGGGGAACCGCTCCTGCTGGCGTCACTTTGAAAAGCCCATGGGTTGCTGTAAGTCACATCAGGGCCAAACCAGCCCTGGAGTCAACGCGGTTCCCCTACCCCGGGGCCCTGCACTAAACACAGCTCTGCTTGCCGGGTGATCGGCCCCACAGGGACACCAGGCAATACTCTGAACAGCTGACTCCAGGGGTGGTCTGGTGCTGGAAAAAAACAGTGGTGGCCAAGCACCCAGAGGCAGCCCCCCCATCCGCTCCACCGTCCCCCCTCCCTCGGCACCTTCTGCCTGCTGCCATCAGCTGTTCCCCAGCATGCCAGAGGCACCAGGCGGCGGGGCAGTGCACGGGGCGGGAGGGATGCGCTCAGGAGCGGGGTGGAATGGGGCAGGAACAGGCAGTCGGGGACAGAGTGGGAGGGGGTAGAAAGCAAGGTGGGGGTGAGGCCTTTGGGGAAGTGAGAAGGTGGGGCAGGGCGTGGACAGAGCTGGACGACTCCTGCCCCAGGTGCGCTAGCTGGCGGTGCAGCGCCTTCCCCTCTTCACTTACCTCCTGAATTAAGAACTTGATCTTCCAGGTGTCACTGGTCACAGCCCTCGTCTGCCCGACGTCTCGGATCTTCGCCTGGACCGAGGTTCTGAACTTGTCCAGGCACGGCCTCAGCGAGGCGCTGGGGAAGAGCGAACAGCCGGAGTCAGCCCCGAGGCCGGCCCATCACTCCAGCTAGGAAGTTCGGCTTCTTGTGCTGACCCTGCCTGGCCTGGCTCCTGGGCCTACACAGGGCGCCAGGACCGGCCAGGGACATGAAGGAAGCTGTCGGCCCTGCCTTCCAAGCTGGCAGGCCCTGTGGTGTTACCTCACCAGGTCTAGCGGACAGAACCTAAGGCCTGGGCCCCAGATGTGACCCCTGGCTTGCCTGAATCCAGCTCAGGAAGCTTGGGGCTCCCCTTCAGCATTGAGGAGCACACACCAGTGCTCCATGCCCACCCCCGGCTCTAGCTTGCCCCCTCCCGAAGTCTGGCGTGCAAGGGGAAGGCGGGGAGTGTCTTTTTCCCTCCCAGCAGGGGCCACATCCATGAAGATTTGGGAGATTTTTTTGCCTCTCGCTTGTGTGCGGCTGATTTTGTGGTGGGTCAGCGGCCCCCCCCACCCAAAAAAGTTTCCCCCCGCCTCCTCTGTGTGAGAACATGCTGTACTGCCAGGGCTGCTGGGTCACAGTGCGGACGTGTCCGCCACCCTGTGCACCGGGATTTTACCCCCCACAGAACCTCACGCCATAAACCAGCTGCCGTGGGTTAGGGAAGCCGGCGGGGGGAGGAGTCCCCCACCTGGGGGTCATGCGGGAGAGGGGCAGACAGCCCTACCGCTGGGAGCTCGGTGTCCCTGCAGCCTGTACAGGGCAGGGGTCGTCTCTCCTGAATATTTCTGCAAACACGGGGTCGATTGCATCATAGATGGGCTGAGCCAGGGCGGTGTTGAGGTCCAGGTAGCCGAAGGTGGGGGACATGTACACCCCGTTCTTCTGGCACAAGGCTTTCAGGGTCCTGTGGAAACCTTGGTTGCTGTTCCGGTTGGTGTTGCGCTGGACAATTGGAAACACAGTCGCAGCGCAGTGAGTACGGGGGATACGACTGACAATTTGTAGAACTGTAGGCCCCTGCGTGCTGGGAGCCGCCCTGTGACACGGCCCTGCAGACCTACTGCACCCTCCCTCTGGAAGCAGCCCTGTGGGATGAGCAGAGCAGTAAAGGCAGGTCGTCCAGGCCAGTGCAGAGAGGCCTTTCCAGAGGAACCATCTTGGAAACCATAGCAACGTGTCCCTGAAGGGCTAGCGACAGCCAATCAGAGCCCAGCAGGTTCATATAAAAGGAGCTGCAAGGGCCCTGTGACACGGCCCTGCAGACCTACTGCACCCTCCCTCTGGAAGCAGCCCTGTGGGATGAGCAGAGCAGTAAAGGCAGGTCGTCCAGGCCAGTGCAGAGAGGCCTTTCCAGAGGAACCATCTTGGAAACCATAGCAACGTGTCCCTGAAGGGCTAGCGACAGCCAATCAGAGCCCAGCAGGTTCATATAAAAGGAGCTGCAAGGGCTGAGCAGGTGGGTGCCCGGCTAGGCAGAGAGGAGAGAAGAAGGGAGCTGCTCTGGCTCAGGACCTCGACAAATAGCCGGAGTCCACAGGGGGCTGAACCCACTGAGATTGTAAAGAAGAGTCTGAGGAACGTGATGGCGGTACGCTAGGCAGGGGGAGGTGTTGCCTTCTCAAACCGCCAGCCTGGCCCCACCCATTCTCCAGCCCCAGAATGCTGACTGTAGGCATACGGGGGGCTGAGGGGGGTAGAGTGATGCTGCCCCCAAGCACCCACCCTCCTGTGCTCCAGGAAAGTGATTTGTTGTGTGCACTGTCACACGGACACCTTCTAGCTGATTGTTTGTAGTAGACACAAAAGGGGGAGAGTCTGGATAAGCCGCGTTCCCATCTAAACACTTTCATTTAAAGGTCTCCACAGGGTGCCACAAGCAGCTGACCAGGGCCAACGACAGCAGGACACACCTGGGGCTAGTTAGCTAGATTGCTCCTTCAGGCAAGTCACTGGCACCTGCAGCCCAGTAAGGCCAGTGGAGTTGCTTTAAAAGGGGTCCCCCAGGCAAGGGACACGGAAGATGAAGTGTGACGGACCGGAAGGAGAAAGGGAGGAACAAGAAGCCATGTGGGAGCTGAGAGCTGGTTAACAGGCACCACAGGGAGACACTTTGGAGGGGTTGTTTGGGGGAAGTGGCCCAGGGAAAAGCTGCCAGGTCACAAGGGAAAACAACCTTGCCTGCTGCTGTTGTAGGGTCCCTGGGCTGGAACCTGGAGTATTGAGTGGGCCTGGGTTCCCCCCAAGCCTTCCTTCCCCCTACTCTCCCCCTGCCAACACAGAGCCAGGAAGGGAGGTCAGGCTTCTCAAGGGGTTTTACCCCCAAACCACGGACTAGCCTGTGAGGAGCATGGCTCACTAAGCCGTGGGCTCTGCCCTCTGTAAAGAGAACGGGGTCGTGTATAGGACCACAGCGAGTCTCTGAGGCTAATACCATCCGCCAGCAGCACGAGACCAGGGGCACGGCTGGCACTTTGCCAGATGGGGCTGTCAGAAAACAAATATTAGTTTCCTTTTAAATAAGGAGTGAACTGCACTTGGCCAGGGAGAGGGTTCATTTTCAGGGGGGTTTGTTGATTTTCTAAGCTGAGGAGTTGCGCTGCCCAAGAGCTCAGTCTGCTGCCCAGGAGGGTAGGGAAGGAACCGAAGGTGCCGCGCTGGCAGTCAGCAGATGCCAACTGCAGCATGAGACGGCTACTGCTCGTGCACGGTGCAGCCAGGTGCTGCTCGCGGAAATCTCCGATCGCTGGCACGAGGACCCACCGACTCCTAGAGTGGGGCCCCCACCGGGCACCGCTGGAAGAAGGTGCGGCTCTCTGCAAGCGGCTTGTATCCAACAAAATTGAATTCCCCCTCTCAACACCCACTGC